TTGTTTTTTAACTGTTCAATTACTTGGTCCGAATCTACATTACTCAAAATATCTATGTTTGAAGCCATTAGCATAAAAGCTTCTAATTTATCTTCATTCATAGTATTTCTCAAGCAAGTTTTAATTACTTTTAAAATTGAAAAAGATCGTTCACAAGCCACCTAGTTTAAAGCAAATAAAGTATAAATAAATAACATTTAAGCTAAAACAATAAAAATATTTAAGGCATTACCTGAGTTGAAGGAAGCGTGAGTAGATATTTATAAGCTAGTGTTAGTTGTTGATATGCATCACTATAAAGCTTATATTTCATCAATACATTAAAGCAGCAAACAGCACAATTTTTACACACTTTTTTTTCATTACAAGACTTTTTCAAAATATTCAGATCATCATCCTCAGAAATATCATTATCTATATATGATTCAGGTAATGATATTTTTAATTTATTCCAACTAGAGGCAAAATGTAATAACTCTRATTGTAAGCTATCCAATGTAATATCTTTATTAAATGTTTTGAGTTTTATGGCAAGCGCACTTAAAGAATTTGGTGGCAACCCATTAATAAAATCATCAAAATGAATTGGTGACAAACATGCCAAGTCCATATATATTTGATTATTTTTAATGAATCTTTTTTCCATACTTTCTACTACTTTATCCATCACATAATTATATATTTCTACAGTAAATTTGTTAAATGGATCAACTATTGGGTCATCTTCTGTTAACTCTTCAAAAGCTTTTTTTTTTCCTTAATCTTAATTTTGGTAACTCAGTTTCAATAGTTATGTCCAACTCTTCTTCATTTTAATCAATAAATGATTCTAGTTTATTATTAGCATTAATAATAAATGCATCAACCTGATTTTTTAACCCTTTAACATCTCTTTGAATATATTGTAATTCTTTATGAGCTATATTAACTAATTGTTGAGATTTATGCAARTCCATTCCATTTGTCTGTAAATATTTTGACAATGGGGAAGTTATTTTGTAAATTCTTAGGTACATAAAGGCTGTAAGCAATGTAGAATATTTTAACATTGATTCCTTAAAATTCTTAGCTTTGGATCTTATTTCTATTGAAAAATGTTCAGAAGTTTCTATTTCATACAGTGAAATTAATAATTCAATATATAAACAATCAGTGGATTTTATACTACCAAAAATTTTGCTTAATGCTTCTTCTTTTGCCCACCATCTAGTTTCTCCAATTAATTGGAGTTTTCTATGTTTTACATCAGACCTTGTAGCTTTTGACCAAACAGCCATACGTTGATATGATTCTTTAAAAAATGCAGCTAACCCATTTAATAAAGAAAAAACTGATGCAGTAGCAATAGATGTTTTAGTTATATCYGATAACACCAAATTTAGAATATGGCTGTAACACCATACATGAACATTACCAGGTGATTCATCTGATAACCATTTAGAAAATCCATTATAAATGCCCTGCATCGATGCAGCACCATCTGTTGCATTGGCAATGCAATATTTAATGTTTAAATTATTATTTGTAAGAACATTAGAAAGCAATTTGAAAATACCCTTTCCTGAACTATCTATACAGTTTACAACAGCTATGAGTTTTTCATGAATCCCATTAGAATTAACATATCTAATCACAATTGCACACTGATCTTTAWCTGCTACATCTTGGGTGGTATCTAGTTCAACAGAAAACATTCCAGCTTCTACAATTTGACTAGCTATGCATTTTTTAATAAGATCACTGATACATTCAATTATTTGATTAACTGTTGTCTTTGAAATTAAGGTTAATAAACCACCTCTAGTTTTATTTCCAGAATTATGTGATACTTGACTTTTTTTAATAATATTATCTAAATATTCATTCAGAACAACATCATATTTTTTTAGTAATAATAGTATATCTAGAAAATTGCCATGATCAACTGAGTTATTATGTAAAGTATAAGCAGCTTCATTATTTTTTCCGCGGTAACTAAGGCTACGTTTACCAATTAATTTAATTACATCTATTATGCGTTCAAGTGCATTGAGTCTTTGTTTAGTTAAAATTTTTCTTGAATTTAATTGATTCACAAATAAAAGGTTATCTATGTTAGTCTTGTGAATGTGCAAAAAATATGCTTCTATACTTACATWGTGGTCTAATATATTTTCATGTTCTTGAATACGTTGGTAGGTATGAGACCATGTATTCATACCTAGTACAAATKAATTATTTTTTGAACAAAAAGCTAAACATACTGTACAAAATAATGATTTTCCATCAAATGTGAGCCAAAATCTATTAGTTCCGTCTGCTTTATAAAAAACCTTTTTACAGTTGAAAAATGTATGTGAAACAGGTTGCAAAGGATGATATTCAAAATAATTGTCAAGCATTAGAGGAAGTGGTTTCTTAAACATTGATTCTGAGACATTCAAATTCATAACCTTTACCTGGAATTAACACAATTTTTTTTTTTAATTTTTATTAGAAAATTTAACAATCTTGTACATAGTAGATACAATAAAATGAAGAGATAATAATATAGGTACAAGATATAACACAATGATATAAATTTATAATATAATACATTTAATAATATTATAAAACTAAAAACACTTACTTCACACAAATCATCAATTGCATCATCTTTATTTGATGATATTTGACTTAAATTATCATGTATTTTCTCAGACTTGTCTAAGACTTCGTTCTAAATTAAAAGTAAATTTAAATTATTACTAAACTAAGTAAACTATCTGTTGATGGATTTGTATAACCTTTTTAAGCTATGTACTGAATTTAATTATTAAATATTTATATATATATATATAGGTATATAACTTATAAGTATTTAACATGGAAACTTAAGTTGAAAATGTATAGAATGTAAATAAATGCATACCTTCAATTTAGAAAACATAACACGAATATCACCACATATTTTTGCATTATCCATTAAAAGTGTTCTCTTTTTTTCTCGTAACTTTTCGGCACCACCCTTCTTTCGTTTTCCATTGGAGTCACACATAATTTATATTGCACAGGGCAAAAAAACAAATTTCAAATTGAATTTTTTCACTAAATAGTAAATGTACAAATGTAATTACTATTACTACGGTCTACGGTAACTCATTAGCGCGTTCACTGCCGACCATATTATGCAATAGCGCGCGCGTGCCGCGTAGCCATTTCCTAAAACCAGTCTTGAAAACATAGATAAAAACTGAGAAAAATATTCTATAAATAAGGAATTTGTTGTTTATCGTACACTTTTTCGGCCACTAATAGTACGAATGTACTAATAAAGTAATAAGTACCAAAATAAAATAATACTTTCATATTTAATTTTTCTTATTATWCAAAAATATAATTTATTTTTGTAATTATATWGTAAATAAAGTGGCCCTTATAAGAACCGGCCCATCGGGAAGATTCCCGATTTCCCGATGGGCCCATCCGCCCCTGAAGATCGTTAATCAAGTTCGTTTCATTTTACTCGTTATAGCCGATAATTCGTACCTAATAACAAATACTCTATGTAGACGTATATTTTAACATACAATCATAATATGGGCTCGTGCCGGCAYCTAACGTTTTGCTTGTTTTAAGCAGTATCTCGTTCTAAGCGATGCTCGTTATAGTGATTTCTACCGTAGTTAAAAAAGCTGGTAAGTAAGTGGATGTAGCTCTGCTGTATAAGTGGATTACTGTAATGGATGGTACCTACTAAATTTGAATTCGATGATGATGTACGTAGTATAATTGTATATGAAAAACGATTCAGAGTGGAGATGGTTTGGCAGTCTAGGATATGACTATATTAATTATATTTTTACTCTTTCAAAAAATAAATAAATATATAAAGATACYTATAAAATAAATTCCAAATCAATCAAATCAGATTCATTGTGTACCTACCCGACTCACTTAGTCATTCATAGTATATATATATAATAGATTATAMAGTATTAATATAAGTCATTAAGGACAATAACTATTAATATTAGAATATAAAGTATACTTTAGAAGTTTAAGTACCAAAGGTACCAACGAATAATTTTTTTAAATTACAAAAATATGACTAAAATTGTTATTCTTGATTATTTAATGTGTAATTTCATCCAAATTTGAGCTTTAAAAAACTGTGTTTGGCATTTGTATAGTTTTTAGATTGTTTTGTTTAGATTTTTTAGTTAGAATTAACTACTTACGTGTTAACCTAACCTAACCTAACCTTGTTTTAAATTTTCAATCCTTAGCAATAAAATTTAAWAATTTAATAAATTTTTAACAACTAAAGAATCAAATAAAATGTTTATAAAATAATCAGTTATTATTGGTAAATGGTATTAATTTATACTTTACAGCACCAACAGAAAAAGAGGCAATGGTAAAAATCAGCATTATGGCCCTAAATTATTTTTATGGGTATGATTATTTACGATATTTATTAATTTCTATCTTTTTCATCAATAAATACATATCATTATTTAATTCGGTATTAGGCTATTTCCTTGGAGAATAAGAAGGATGGACATCGCCAAAATTATTAAAGAGAATTCGTTGAAGAACACAAACAATATTAAATTAACCAATTGTTTAATTTCTTTTTACACCTATTATCCGTCATACCTACACAGTGACTTAGGCACTCAATGTCTAAGTTATCACTCAATACCTTTATTATTTTCMTATTATAGTCTAATTTATGTCATTTATATTATATTTTCAAATTATATACACTATACATAATTGTTATGTTGGAAAAATAATATATATGGCTAAAATTAGACTATAATATGAAAATAATAATGATATTGATTGATTACTTATTCATCGAGTTCTTATATCATTGTGTTGTGACAGTAATCTGTGTAAAAAGAAATGATCGAATTGGTTGGTTAAATGTTTTTATATTTAAATGCTTATTGTTACTGTTTGAAATAATATCAATAAAATATAAAATGTATTACATAAAAGTTATATGTATATTAAATATGGTATGATCAGAAAATATATGTAATTCGTAAGTTAATTTATTAAGGAGTGGGAGTGGGATTTTGTTTATTAAGCATGTTAGAGCAGCTAGGAGGGGGTTTAGGACTAATTTTAATTCGTTAAGAAAATTGGTGACGATTTTCAGAGGTTGATCGGGTGGTGGAGTGTTCGCTGTGRCTTCGGCATATGAGGGCTTTTCTTATGGGTTTGAGCTTAGCGCGTCATGACCTCTTSTGTGAGGAGCAGGTGGTACAGCATGTGTTTGAATGTGTTTGAATGTGTTGATGAACTGTTTCTGTCGTTCTAGTTTTGGATTTGATGTGGCTTAATATCTTTTTAAAGGTTTTATATTCCTTATAACTGGCAGTGTGGTTTCCCCCACAGTTTGCTCATTTTGCTGGTTCCTCCWGCTTTTTTGTGCAACTTTCGGTGTAGTGTTCAGCTCCACATTTGACTACATTTCATGCGTCGAGGTTTGTGGAAATAKTAGTTGCGTAATAGCAATAGATAGGTATATACTTTAATGCGTGCGCACGAATATGTACGACTTCTGAACCAATGGTTTACAAACGAGGTGTTGGGGAGACAAGTGTTCAAACCACCTTGGCATTTTTTCATTGTCTGTATAGATGTCCTTACCAATAGAAATTAATAAAATTTAAGTAATATTTTGATATATTATGCAAAAATTTATTTTTTTTATACAACCCATTCCATTGAAATATATATCTATGTACACAGCCACTGTTTTGCTCCACAAACGAATTTACGAACTCGAGCGGTAAAAAACCAAAGTGATACGACATTTTTCCCGTACCTAATGTGTACGAAACTATGAACAGAAAGAGAAATACAAAAAAACAGGTGAAAATAAAATATAAGCCATGTATACACGGCGGGGGAATCACCTGTTCGGCAGGAGACGCGTGAGCAGCAGGTTGGAGCCAATACACGAAGTTTTTAGAATAATAATAATATTACTATTATTACTATTCTTATTTTTTTAGACAAGACACGCGGCGGCTGCTTTACCGTTATCATTTGGAAAACGCGTTGCCATCGGTGTCGATAAGGTTGGGGGGAAATTCGCGTCCTTGATGTGGCTACACGTCGCCGCCGCCACCGCAACAACAGCAGCTCTGGCGCGCGTGGAAGACGACTAAGACGACTAACGACCAACAAACTGAACAAACTACTAAGGCGGGCGGGCGGTCTGCGTAGAATGGGAGTCGCATGCCAGTCATTCGGTCGTCGTCGTCCGTCGTCAACGACTCTAACCGAAAATAAAAAACGTCGTCTTAAATCGTTATCATTAATAAATAATAATTTTATCTTTATCGCGTGGACGTGACGTCGTAACGTCTCCAAAGTTCAACGCGACACGTCACTACTCTTGGTCGTTCGATACTCTAAAATTATCATATTTTATGCATGATACAAAATATTATACCCAACGACTAATGAGCGTTTGGGACCGTTCGACGGAAACGAGCGAAACGTTCTTCTCAAAAACCCAACCGCCTACTGGACGATAAAACAATTTATCTATAAAAAAATAAAAAATAACCGTGTCGCGAATTCGATCGGCCAATGCCGTCAAGTGTCGTCCGCCGTCGTCGACTTCGCGGGAAAGTCGTGTCGCCGGCGATTGCGCATGGTGCCCGTGGTGGCGATAACAAGCGATGATATAAACATTATAAACGCGCACGCACCGAGTGGCGACGGTGGCGGTGTTTGTCGGTCGGTCGGACCTGTGAGGCTGCGACGAAAGGCGAAAATCCTCGTAGAGTTATCACGACGATAACAGTACGACAATATATGTATACATGTAACACTGCTTACCTATACAAGTAATACAATAGGATAAACAACGATAATAATATTATTATGATCTCATCGCCGTAGAAACGGTGTATGAAGTAGCAACACGATCACCTCCCGGGAACGCACGTAGGCAGTCTTTCGCGTGCTCGTTCGTTCGGTCGACGTCATGACGACGTGCCATAGCCACCGCCACCGATGCGATAGGTGAAAAACGCCATCGGCCGTTGCGTTTCATCACAGCAGCCGACGACGACCAGACATGGGTAAGTGGCGATGACATTTCGTCGATTGCGTGTTTGTTCGTCTCCGGTCTGGCGATGATTGTTATCGTGTCGTGTTTACCTACCTGTTTGTTTCATGTGCACAGAAGCCGTGGTCCAATTCGATTACGCGGCCCGCGAACCCGACGAGTTGACATTGAAGAAGGGAGAAGTCATCACCGATGTCAAGCCCATGCCCGACGGATGGATGGAAGGACACAAGGACGGCAAGAAAGGAATGTTTCCCGACACCTATGTTAAAGTAAGTACTACACAATAACTGTTCATCGGCTACAACCCAAACTTATTATGTCATTACTGTACTTTATAGATTGTTCATACTTCGGCCGGCGTTGTTTTGAGAAAAAGTGAGCGATTCCATTTTATAAAAGTTTATTGATGTTGTTATGCCAATTTTTTATCACAAATTTCTTACTTTTAGAAAATGCTAGAAAGTGTAAGGTTTTGTTCAGTTACAAACCAGCAAACAGAGACGAGTTGGAGTTGAACATAGACGATGTTATCGAAGTTATTGGCGAAGTCGAGGAAGGTTGGTGGAAAGGAGAGCTTAGGAATGAAGTGAGTACTGATTTTATTACACACAAAATATTAACCATTGCATTTTTACACTCAAGTAGTTTATCTTTATTAAACTTGAAATATTTATTGACCTCATTATCGATATCAATTTCTTTAATAATTGAATCCCATAATTTTTTTTCTTTTAAAAACCTCCCATAAATCATCAGGTATCTAACATTACAAAAAAAATCTTTAATCATTTTCTAGTAAATGATAATATATTTTTGGTGTTTTTACAAAATAGTTATCACCAAACTTATCGTTTCATAAAATTTGGTTATCTACCATTTTGTTATTTTTAACTGTTTTTCCGATATTAATTATATTAAATATAACTTTAAGTAAGTAACAAATATTATCCTACTGCAGTTTAAACATTATAATTCTTAACAAGTGTTAAATTAAATAATTGACTTTAAATAAACTTTGATCTTTTTAAAAATTACATTTTCAATGAACATTAATTCAGTTCAATGATTTGTCTTTATTTGTCTTTTTAGTAATATTAAATATTATAATTTTTAAATTATGGTTAGCATTATTTTTAAGATTTCACATTTCATGATAATTATACGTAGGTACTATTATTTGGTAATACACTAACTAAACTTTTTTAATTTGTTAGTAACCAAATAACTCATATAGTAACACAATTCTATTGACCAAATTAATTCACATTGATTGCATCTGAATAAATTAACAAATTGTTTCTTTATTGTCTTGGTAAATTAGTATGATAAAATAATGATGCTTTCATCTCATTTAATTGTTGATTAATAAACCAGTGACTTTTATTGAATTGTTTTAATTACCAATCATTACTTTCATCCTATAATATTAAGACAACGGCTAGAATACTTTTTGATTGGTAATAATATTATTAAAACTCTTAATTATCTACTACAATAAAGAAAATGATAATGTTTTTATTACACAAATACAAACATATAGATACCTATGTTTGTCATGAAAAAATAAACAAATGACAAATACCTGCCAAGTGATTAATATTTAAATATATGATTATTCAGAAGGTTAAACTGACATGTTATTATTACTATACTTGAATGGCTGTAGATAAAAGTTTTATTTACCTCAATCATTAAAATATATTCCCTAATAACTGGTGTTAATAGTGAACATTATTATCCCTAAAAATTGTTTAATTACAAATTATTGAGAAAACAACTGTGTATGCCTTAGTATTAAGTATTAGATTTTTTAAATATAAATTGTTTTACATTACAACAGTTTTATTCAGTAAACACTTGTTATTTTATTATTGTTTGATTGTAATTTAAATTGAATGCAGCTAAATTTTAAGTTGATAAATAAGTTTTATTTATTCCATCTAAATTTTGAATTTACTCTTACAGACATGATGCATAAAAAAATGCAAGTACCTACTATTTGTTAACAATTAATACAATTTATTTGTATGTAGTATCTAAGTATATTTTTTTGATAATAAGTATTATATCATAACATATAATAGCTTGTCTTACTTTTTTGTTTAAAAGAAACAGATAAACAATTTAAATGTTTATTTGTTTACATATTTTAGAAAGATTTTCTATCAACATGATTTTAACAATTTTGTATTTTGAAATCTGATGATTTCTTCTAGGTATTTAAAAATAAATATTGATTGTTGTTTAATTTTTACTTACCTAGTTATTTGTAATGCATTCTTGATTGACTGTCTAATATTATTAATAAATGTATATACATATTTCTTATTTTTTAAATTTAGATTGGTGTATTTCCATCCAACTACGTCACTGAAATATCAGATGTTAAGAGTATTAGTAGAAGTGACTCTAAAACTTCAACTGGATCCATTAAGAAAGAAGAAAGCATCAAAAAAGGTAATTTTCATTATTTTTAAGTATTTAATCAGGATAAATAATAATTTCTATTAGAGTATCCAATCATAAAAAAAATGACATTAATGTATATGACATTTCATTGTAATTATTTTTATTTAGAAAAATCTATTGTGGAACCAATCAAAACTGCTGATAATAATATAGAATCCAATGCTCCAGTTCTACCTCCAAAACCAGGTATAAACATTTAGTACCACAATGCTAAGTAAAATAATTAAATGAAACAATTTTGTCTTAATGTACTCAACATACCAATTGAATATTAATGTAGTACTATAATTTATATTGGATTTAGTAAATAAACGACTATTTTACACCAACACAAACTGATAAAAGGACATAAATGTAATACTGATTAGTATTAATCACTTGAAAGATAAACCTTATTTCGATGTGTCAAGTTTTAATTATATTATTTTAGTTATATTTCAGAGCTCAGTTATTCCTGTTATTATTAGTGATTATTATGATGAATGATGAGTAATGAAACTTTTAAAAGTATAAAAATTATCAAAAATTATTTTTCTTTTTAAATTCCATCACAATATTTTTTTTTCTAGTTTTAATTGCTTGCCCTACAAGTTGTCCATAAGATATAAGTTATGAATTCAATCAAACAGAGATTGTCTCACTTATTTTGTTGTAAGAGTACCAAATATTTTAAATTCTAAATGTGCATTTGATTACATTTTGTTTCAGTATTTAAAAATATATTTAATCTGACCATTGCAAATCATATAAATACAATTAAATGTGTATTGCTAGTTGACATTCTAAAATTACAGTAATCATCCAGTAATGTTATCAAAAATGTATTTGCTCAATTCAAATAATATTTAAAATGTTAAACTAATTATTATTTCAAAGGATGGGTAAATACACATTTATCTTTTAATTTATCATTGTTCAATTTTTTACAGCTAAAGAAGTCTGTGTGGCACTCTTCCCTTATGAAGCTGTCAATAGTGATGAATTATCACTAGCTGAAGGCGATATAGTTACTATTTTATCACGCGAAGTAGAAGACAAAGGCTGGTGGAAAGGAGAGCTAAAAGGAAAAATTGGTGTGTTTCCTGACAATTTTGTTCAAATAATGAATCAAGATGAGGTATTTTTAATTATTACTATTATTATTTTACGTATAGGCTATATAACATTACGTCGTAATCATATGTTTTTTCACTTTTGTTTATTCAGTTGGCAGCCAAATCTGAAAAAACTGTCAGTAGTCCACGTAGCGGCACAACGGCTTCACTGCGCAAAGTTTTTCAGAGCCAAATGGAAAATAAATCTTTGGGACCAGTGGTGAGCAAAAAACCTGCTCTGCCACCACCACCACCAACAACCAAAAAACCACCCACTGCCAAAAGTTCTTCCACGTCTTCCTTGTCAAAAACTATTAGTGGTATTAAATCCATGTTAACTTCTGAACAAAATACCACGGATAAAATGAAGCATATAACGTCTGAAATTGGTGATTCTAAGCAATACGGTTCTATAGCTGTAAAACGTTCAGAGTCTGTTGGTTCCATGAAAAAATCATCTGATTTGCCAGATGGCTCAAGTATGAGTAGATCAACATATCATGTTACGCCGGGATCGTCCCCTACATCATTAGTGCTTACAAATGTATGTATTTTTATTATAATGTATATATTTATTTATTATATTTTATTACTGTATTATTTGCTAAATTATTGTTAAATGCATGTTATGTTTTACTTAGCATGATAATAATTCTTCTGAGCCCAAGAGTCCTGATTTTGATCAAATCGAGAGAACCGCCATGCTTAGTCATCCTACAGCATCTCGAGCTAAGGCGCCTAGAAGAAGGCCACCATCTGCAGCGTTCAATGTATCCAGCGAAGAAGATCCTGCATTGGATCCCCCACCAACAAATGGAATACCCGGTGTGGATAAAGAAAAGGCCCCATGGGTTCAAGAGTTGATGATGAATCAGGCCAAGAAATCATCGATAACTAATTCTGTGATAGGTATGTTTCTTTTAATCATAATTATACATTGAACTTTTATGATTTTTACACTTTTCACCAAACTTTATTATTCAAAACTATTGAATGATAATATTAATAATATAGTTTTTTTTAAATTCTTTATCCATAAATTAGGTGGTGGTAGAACACGAGTGATGATCAATCCTTCTACAACCACCATAACATCAGAGAGTTCAGAAACCACAACAGTTACATCCAGATCAGGATTGACTTCAGTGGGTTTAGGTGGTGTTGTTTTTAAACCCCCTGGTTATGTGCCACCTCTAACCACACCTGAACCGGTCACAGTAAGCACACCAACCAGTCCTGTTGCTCCAACCGATTTTAGTCTGTCATCACCATCTGTAGAGGGAAATCTAATAGCAGTGTTAAATGAAAAGGTAATTAATGCATTTCAGAATGAAATTTTTTAAATTTTTATTTCGTTGTAAATTTCTAATCTGTGGTTTTTAGGTGAAACAATTAGAGTCCACTGTTCAATTGCAAAATAGTTTACTTGACAAGTTGTCAACTAAATTAGAAGTTGAAACTGAAAAGCGTATGGAGATCGAGAAAGAAATGAAAAAGATCATGGAACTCGTAACAAGAGTTTGACTTGGACAGCAGTATTTCTGTATTAATGAATAGTTATAATAATGAAAAGATAATCAAACAAGTACTTAAGACCATTACCAATTTGTTGCTTATAATTTATTTATTCCATGAGTAGCCATGCATTGAATATCATGATTATGTTAATAGTATGTACATTTTTAATCTATTAGTATTGATAATTTAAATTTATTCGAAAGTCAATGCCAGAACCCTAATCTCGATTCTGTGTTCTGTCTCATCGGAAAAATTAGTATTGGTTATTATATTTTGTGATAACCTATTCCCATGTCCCTTGCACATCATAAATTTATTTTTCATTCTTCTAGTCTATAGAGTCAAATTGTTCATCGTTTTCATTAATATTTTAATTAAGTATTATTATTATTATTATTATTATTATTATTATTATTATTGTATTCTAATCATTCCTTGAGCTTTTTAGTTCAGTTTGAACACTAAATGTGATAAACAGTGGCTTTTCTGACAATTATTGATGCAGTTTTCACAATATTACTTCTTACTTCTTAGTTCACAATATAAACAATATCATAAATCTCATTGAATTATAAATTCAATTTTGATCCTATTATAACATTTTAAAAGTAACATAAAGAGCTAAGTTACAGTTAACTGTATAACTGCCACTAGAATTTATTTACTAAATACATTTTATAGTGATTTTTATTTTACCTTTTTTTTACATTCCTTTTTTACATACATTCTTATTCATAATTTTTCAAAAAAAAAAAAATAATGCACTTATCCAGAATTGATTTTTGTAATAGTGTGCAATTAGTGTGTTCTGTTAAGTTTCTTTATGTATAATATATATATATATATAGACTACCAGGAATGTGGCGTCTATGGTGTTAGAAAATCACTGTCTGGAAAAGTTAATGTTGTTAATCGGATATTCAGTTGTAATTTTATGGCACGCAAATTGATATCCATTTACATGCTCTATTACAATATAAATTATATTTTTATATGTTTATTGATTGATTCCCTAGTCCAATTTTTATACTGCTAAATGTTTAATGTGCTAAAAACTTAATTTTTATTTTACACATAAATTATTCATTCATGGCTAAACCTTTACTACCATTATTATGTTAGGCTCTAATTTTCTATAAATTGTATTAATTTTATAATAATTTAAATAGATTTTATTCAATACTAATTTATTTTTAGCAAATATTTAGTTTAATTCTTGTTCAACGAACTGTGTACATAAAATATATTTGATTATATTTAAAAAAATATATATATGTGCTTAAAAATAGGCAAACGACTGATTTTGCACACAATATGATCTACACTTCATGTCATGTTTTTCAAAGTTAAGCATATTATGTCTCCCTCCTCTACTCGACCATCCCCCAAACGACCATTTATATTTATTTAGTTAATTTTTGTAATGCATACCTATATTTTCATAAATAAAATCTTGTAATAGCGATTATTCAGTTAAATAATTATGAACATTTTGTAAACATTATTTTTTCAAAATTTTAAATGTCTATTAAGCCAATAACAATGTTATACGATTATATACCATTGATTATTATAAATATTTTTATCATAGAAAAATGTATGATTATTAAATTATCATTAGTCCAATATTATTTTAATTATTATTATTATTTTAATTATTATTACTAACTATTGTAAGTTGTCCAACGGTGTCATATATATTTTATAAATTGTTAATTTTTATTTCCAATAAAAGTATTAAAAATATATTCATATGTAATAATATTATAGTTATTTTAAATTAAACACTTAATTGATATCCTTTTTATGCTTAAGCACTATACATAATATATATTAGGTATGGTTATCAAATGAAAATATGATTAAAAAAAAGTTTATTTTACAAGTTACATATTTTATATCTTGTGAATAATGATGGTTGGAGACAATGGTGTTATTTAGAAACCAGATTTTATGTTAGGACTTCTGACTTAGGAATATAGGAGTAATAAGGCTTCTTCTTTTTCCTAGGCTTATAGCGATCCATTCAGGACCACCAGCGCTTCTAGTATACCTTTCCATCTCTCTCAATCCGATACTGCTCTCATACTTCGTAATAGTTTGACTTTTTTTGGGTTTTATTCGATTGCTCTTAGTCTTTTCCCTGTTATCTTGTTTTCCTTTACCTTCTTGATTATCGATTCCTTGGCTCACCAGACGTGACCTACCCATTCCAACCTCCTTCTAAAGTGCCGTAGATTCKACTTATTATATTTATTAAGGTCTCTATATTTTTACAATAAATTAATAAACTCTAAAAACGTAAATATTTTAAAGAGAAGTCAATAAATTATGATCATTTTGTATTTAAAAGCTTTCTACTTTCTTTAAGAAACCTTACCTACTTGGTTTAAGAAACCAAACTTCTCATAAATACAACTCAAATTAAAAAGTTAAATTATTGTTGCATATTTTACCAAATTTAAAATGATTTAGGTAAGATTTTGAATATTTAATTATTCTATATATCATATTAATAAATCAACTAAAAACATAATATATAAAAATCTTCCCATACCTCTACGGCTATAATATTTTTACAGGATAATATTATATAGTAAATTACAAAACAAAATATTAAGTTTTAATAAGAATAAAAGTAAATTAGATTGATAATTAAATATGATCATGAATATTTTTGCATACGATGAAAAATGTTCTAATAATTGTGCATTTTTTGACATTTATTTCCATATAAATGCATATTTGATGAAAAAAAGTTAACATTTAATCAACCGCTGAATAATACAATACACGTTATATATATTATATACTAATATACTGTAGTATAGTGTATATTAATTATTTTTCAGCACCTTTGCACATATTATTAAATAAAACGATGTAGAGAAGATCTTCACTACATCGTGATTAAATCGATATTTATTTCATAAGCTTCCAGAATTCCAGATCCTGATAATAATTAGTATCAAAGCCAATCAGTTATCACAAATCGATTTATAAATAATATGAATTAATGATAAAAATGGGGGAAAGTAGGTAACCACTATGCTCTACGTCTACACAGTCGATTATACCTGGTCATTGAGTAGGTCACTGTAGTAATAGATAAATTAAATTTGAATTCAATCATTAATCATTGCCTACAAAAAACGAAGGCAATCTATAAGCATATTATCATATAAATATATTGCTACCTATTTATAAGATTATTTTAGTTATACGGAATAAACTATAAATGAGCAATAGCATAAAATTAATTAAAACAGCTATTCTTCGCTGAAATTTTAATTACATATCGAATTTCATCCATATTTAAACCTCAAATCTCTATAAAAAATTCAAGTTTATTTATTTTTTAGAATTGTTTTGGTTCTAGTATCAATTACGTCTTATTAGCATCCGTGTTTTAGACTGTCAAACTTTCCGACTGAGCAAACATTTTTTTTGTCTAATATTGAAAAAAAAAATAGAAAATTCCTTGAGCCTATAAATAGCTTCAAAAGAGTAAAATTATTTTGAAAATTGTAACATCGAATATTAACAGAAAGTGCTAACATAAATATCTGGTGAAAATTTCAAGTATCCACCATTTTTAATTTACACCAAAATTGATTTTGAAAAAAAACTAATTTTGCGTAAAATAATTTTTACTTCATTTTTTTGTTTCGCTCGATTATGTATTGCTAAACACTTGGAATTTTCCATTTTTGACCTATGAAAATTAATAATAATTAATAATTATAAATTCAAGTTGCTATAAGAAACCACCTGTAAATATAAGTGGCAAATCGAAGCATTTTTTGTGTACTATAAACCGTGTAGTTAAATAGGTACATAAAAACAAACACGTTTTTGTAAAATCAATTTATCCATAACTTTGCTCAGAATCAAACAATATTTAGTGTTTCAGTCTAATAGTTATTTAAAAATTCATAGATTTAGGTCGCTAAGGAGCAGTATCCGATATAGGATATTAAAATTTTGTGATATGGTAGGTAGTGGTAAGACACTAGTTTTTTTTATAAGAAATTTACAATCTGTTCTTAACTAGAACAATAAGCAAATGTGCATAGAGTATTTACATATGAATTTTTTGAGGGAAGAAACCACCCATTGGTGACACTACCTATTTTGTGTTCTTAAATTTTTAAGTTAAGCTAATTTTCATTTTGAGACAGAAGGTCCCGACACCATCTTCGCTTAAGTCGTCTGGGTGGATTACCTGTAATGGACAAGGTAGATATTTTTTTAATAAGAGGATTAGGATGAAGAGGTAGTTTGGTGTGTAATCTTTTGTAGTAGCATTTTGCTTCGTCAAGTACTGTTGTTATTCTTAGATCGTTATGGAGCGTAACATTGGATACAAAAACACACTAGTAGGTAGTTAATAGTGAGCGCTAAGCACGGAATAAGCACAGTTATATTGTGGCAGCATTACCACAACCGTAGTACTACTACCTAACCTAACCTAACCGTAAGTACATATTAACATATTGGAGTAGCATAATTAATTTGAATGGGGGGGGAGCTAATTTGTTTCAGGTACGCGCTATACTCTATACACAGCGTAAATTCTAAAAAACGAAATTCTGGAGAGTTTAAAGCCCCCTTAGTTTGCCCCTCTCATTCTATGACCACGAGTGCCTATATATACATTGTTTGTACCTTTTATGCCTGCAGTTTCACCTATATACTGCAGTGCTTGAATTGAAAAATAAAAGAAAGTATACTCCGACTACTCCGAGGCTTATTGAAAAGAATTAGCGTTCCGTTCTTCCTTACTGTGATTTAACTCAACAACCAGCCACCCTAGCCCACGTGTGACATACCACCAAGGCACCAACCATATCCATCTTCAATAATAGGTACCTAGGTAGTTGAAGTATTATAATAATATACCAATATATACTGGTAGCATTTTATGTACCTACAAACAATATTGCAATAAATATATTATTTTACTTGTCATGTAGAAACATAAAAATATATTCTAATATTATTTTCTAACTAATTGGTAATTAATCATGAGAATATTGTTATACCAAATAGTAAATAATTGAAGGACTTTTTCCGCGGACTTTGATATAATAATATGTTTGACCACGTTATCAACAATTAACATAAAAAATCACTAAATTTAATTTGAATATCTTATTACGAAATATTAATTACAAAACTACAATGTTATTTTAACAAAATAAAAAACATTCCGTCCCATGTTCTAATGTTCTAATGAAAATAATAAGAATAAGGGCTGGTGCCCTGTGTAATAGAATAATTGAAAAAGAATTGCTCTCCCCTTGCTTGCCCTCCCAAATCGAGCACTGCAGACAACATTTGCATCCTATATATATATACCACTTCTGTCTCCTACTTTTAGACTACAATATAATATATATTGACTATCATTTATCCTGATACTGATGTCCAATACTGTACATATTCAATATATACGATATACCTACACTTTCAAAAACTTAAAAGTGGGTTGGTAAGTACGTATATAAAATAAATAATACCTACATTTATTTTTATTTTTTAATGTCATTAGTTATCGCGCATCTGCATATTTTTTTCCGTCCATCGATTTAACGGGATTTCGGTGATAATAAATTGGTACACGTATCGATAAACCGGTTTATGTGATCACATGTAATGGGGGGGTATGTATACTGTATATTATATATTTTATACTCGTATTAAATGTATAATATTATACTGTGCTAAATATATAAACAGAAAAATATATATAACATAGTATAAACGAAGATAATATTATTATACACTTCGCTGGTCCGACGAAGAGTATATTATAATATGGGTGGGTCGTAGGTAGTGTGTACTATAAGTACTTACTACTTACTATAAAATGAAGAAAACGTGGGTAGAGATATATACATATACCTACGTATTACGAATATATTATATATAGACATATTATACCCTGTGGTTGACTTTAGTGGGAGGGCTAGACTGCTAGAGTATATCGAGTATCGACTAAATGTTCAGATATTTTAGAGTAGGTACTCCTACTTTTTGTTTTTGTCGAATTACGCTGCATCGGACAGTACCTATATGGGCTATATGTATAGAATATAGACACTATTTTTATTTAGAATTGTTTACAAAAATATATTACCAAGCTACTTAATAATTTAAATATATGAAACAAAA